TAGAAACATTGACAGCTTTCGATGTTTGAAAATGTGGCTATCAATGGCTGTCACCATCAATGGATTCATACTTATGGAACATTTTGGGGGAAACCATGGTGAATTGACATCCAAATACAAGGGTATGCACTAAGTAACCAATGGTAAGACATCAACAAATGGGAATTTGACCTTTGGAAAAGTGGTGGGTCAAACATCAATCATATGGAGATCTAACTGTGAATGGGAGATTACCTTATGGGTATATATCCGTTGAGGCACAACAAATATGGGTCAATATAGGTACATAACATGGTATATAGAACCAAATAACCTAAACCAAAAAAAAACGTGCATCACTAGCAGAATTGGGAGTACAACCTACCTACGTGAGCATGTCCAAAGTGGGTATCCAAAAAAAGATCCTCAGTTTTTGTTCATAAATTCCCTTTTAGTTCCCTGTGTACACATGACGCACTGGGCACTTGTGTTCCCAGCGAGACAACAATCAATACCCATGAGACATGCACGACTGTTCAATGTTCAGGAACTCGCTTGAGGAAATGTATTCTGTCCTATCCAACATCAAAACATCGCAAAAAAATCCACCATTCGTCAGAGAAAATGAGCCGCCTGTCCCTCATCGGGCACCAGCTCGTCTAAGTCAGGGATAAAGTCCCCCGCGCTGCGGCTAAAGGCCTTCCTGGCGGAGCTGAGGTTGGGGGCCATCCAGGGAATCCAGGCCTCCAGGAAAGATGAAATCATGGATTTTCCCCATCAAAATGGCTGGTGCTTCATCCAAAACCAATCAATTCGGAAGAATCTCTGCATGATCTCAACATGTTTTAAGCTAGTAACCTGTCCACCTTTAGTGCTCCTAGTCCTCCCGTTTTTGCAGGCTATTCCCCCTGGACCAATGGGGCCTGAACTCGTGCGGCTGGGAGGTGGTGTTCCTCGGTTCTCCCAATGGTTACCCATGTAGTCGTGATTGCTGCATGAGATATACATGTAGATACCTCCAACTATACTATGTTTTCAATGATTAGTAATTAGGTATTTGTTTTAATATAACATCTCGAATCATTATGATACGACTTAGGTGTGCCAAGTTTTTGGTATGTTACCTTCAGTAGTATCAAATTAGAATAGTGTATAGCTATAGACCGATGGTCTCCTGCGGGGAAGATACTGCTACAGTATGACTACGGGAGTTGACCTAGTATTTACTGTAATAGTAAGATTGAGGGATCAATAGTTAGTATATCCGCTATGGCGAATTTTTGTATATCATTAGTATACTAAAATTAAACTTGATTCCCAAAACAGCCAACTATAGTCCCCTTTGGAAAATATCGCTCAATTTGGCAAGCAATACAGCAGTTGGCATACACATTAAGGCTAGATGGAAGTTGGCCGACTTAGAGTTACCCTCCACTGTCCTAGTCACTATGGAAAACAACGGGGAAAGCCGCAAAGGAAAGTGATCGGCTTCGCCATGGATCCATAATCCCAATGGGGACTTCACCCATCCAAATGGAGACATTGGCCATTACTATCCATTACTGACATATGACCAGCTGTTCTGGTTTTTCGATGTACTTATATCAGCATGGCAATCATAGTCTTTTTTGATCTTTTTTGCATCCCCAAAATTCCGGAGTTTCCGGAGTTCTGAAGTCCCATCGAGCTGCTCGTGGCAACACCCGGTGTCGCACCATGACATGGCTCGCGGCAATCCGGCAGGGGAAGTGAAGAGTTATGGCAACAATGGATCTATTGCAACCCCTAGTGTTTTACTTTCCTACCCTTTAGATTTAGATCCTTTTCGGGGGTTACTAGATTTTTTGGAGTCTTTCACGGAGATGGGATAATAGTGGTAATACCTGGTAAGATATCATGTTTTGCCGAACTGTTCTTTTGGTGCGTGCATTCTCTCGTTGAAATTTTGCTTGCGGGCTGTCAGGCTGGGTCAGCTCTCGATGCCGAACGCTCATCCCGGCAATGATGTGCAGTTCCCAGCACCAGAGAAATCCATGGTCAGTACATGTCCGAACAAACACCAAGAAAATCTCCAAAAAAAGAAAAATATGCTCTGATTCCAGTAGCGAAAGTTCCCTGCGGCTTTCGCACAACAGCGCGAAAGCCGATAGCTGCTATGAGAAGCTAAGCAAAAGTAAGATTTTTTATTGCACACATGGTTTTTCGGTGCCAACTAACTGTGTGGGTGGAATCCCTAAACCCCTGACACGAGTCATACCCCCAATGGGAGGGACCCCACCGAGTCCAATCCATTCGCCGCCGTGGCACTGCCCATTGGTCAAGATCTTCTGCTCCATACGATGTGGGTGGGGCCTCGATTAGCGACGCAGATTTTTTGGCTTCGAAATGGGGATGTGACACCCGAAAAATCACTCGGAAATTAGAAAATTCTTCACTCACCTGAAATGTTCGGCTCTTTTGGGATAGTTATCCTTGCTAATCCGTACTAACTATCATAACTATCATTTCCGTTGTTATAATTTACCCACATCAATGATAACAAGCTCTCTTTGTCAATGGGAATACTCACCATCAATATCCAACAATCAACCCAGCATACAATCCAAATAAGAAAGATGCCAGATCAACATGTGTGGAACTCAACCACCAATAGATGGATTGTACAGGAGCTTCAAAATTATGCGATGGAAACACCATCAGAATCTCACAATCCAACCAAGACCTCACAAAAAATCAACAGAAACTGCCAATCTCACCAGATGTCGACATGTTTGTTTCAAGCCACTTTCTTTTCCACCCCACAAAAAATATACATCACCCATTTTTTCGACCCACATCCCTATGATTTCACCCCGTCCCGACAGCAGCGACATCCTGGGCTCCGGCAGCACGGAAAGGCCCCGGTGGTCCTTGACCAAGGCGCCGGAGAGGCGTGGTAAGGCTGCAGCCTGGGAAGATGTCAACTTTTCACCCTGAAAAATAGGGAGACCGAGGAAAATGCTGAATTCACCTAGGAAAACCCAGGAGTTCAGCAGAAATCGGTGGCTTTTTACTCTCCAGAGATTGGGAGAGTGGGACCTTAGCATCAAGAGAGGGTGGATTCAACCATCCGAAATCGTGGATTTCACCAGCTCGGAAATCAGCCATGTTTGGAATGATGCACCTTGCTAACCATCACACACATGGGAAGATAAGACATGAGAAGTTTTCAGGGATTAGAGGGATTAGAGTCAGAGCCATGTAAATTCGAGGATTTAAGCAACAAGAAATTAAATTGGGACGAAAGAACTACAGTAAAACATTGGATTCACCAGTGATTCACCATTCAAGCAAAAAAAGAGGAATTCAGCAACAAAGATGATGATGTCACCCACAATATTCTAGACGAATGGCGATGCACTCTCTAGAAACGTGTTGCTGAAATGGAAACTCCGTGGAAAATTCCGCTGACAATCAAAAAGTCACCAGATTTCCAATTGCCATGTTGAATTACCAGAGGCTTTTTTTGACCAAAACTGTCATGAGTCGTACTCCCATTTCGGGGCGAGAAAAAAAAAAAACGACATCCGCTGCTTCAACATCATTATAGTCATATATCATATCAACTATTATAGATGATCCAACAATCATTATAGTTACATCAACTATAATCATCAGCCAACAATCATCATCTTCATTTTCCGCATCAAAAAATAGCCCCCATACCCATGACCGTCAAAAAGTTGCCACGGCTCCGCGCCAGCATGCAGGGCAGCCATCCCTCAATGCGCTCGTGACCTTGGACGAAACACCGTTTTTTGTATCATAAAACCAATGTCAAAAAAAAAAATGGTGATACTAAAAGGTGATACCTGGTGTTTTCTAGCTGCAAATATCATCGAATATATGATAATATATGGGTCTGTCTGAAAATAGTCCCCCAAATGACACTTGTTGTAGGGAAAATGATGATTCACCAATGGATTTAGAGGTACCCTATTTTCAGATAAACCCATATCCCATTCTGGTCAACCCTGGGATCCCTGCAGATTGGGGCTGGTGGACCGGTCTGGCAGCCGCTCGGGAACGACGGAAATCAACAAACCTACGATTCCTGTAATGTCCAAAGGGTCTCTAAACAAAAAAGGGGCCAAAACGAACCCAAGTGGGGGATGGACATGTTAATGTGAGGAAGGGCCCCCACACAAAAATAAAGCTTGGGGAAATCCCACCATCGGGTGCCTTTCGCCACAAACGCCGACGTTTTTGCACACCTGTTTGTCACGGCTCAGAGATGCTACCAAACACAGAATTTCAGTGAAGCAAGAGAAAGCAACTGCCCCTTGTATGTTTTTCGTTGGGTTGTAAACCACTTAGCCAGGAGCCCACCATTACATGCCCACTAGGCCTACTAGTGATTCTACCAGTCGTGCTTGAAATTCAAATGCAAGTGACCCAGAGTTGGTTCACTAGCTGTGGCTGCCGGCATTCCAATCCACCAGCGGAGACAAAAATATTGAAAAATGAGGTGGATGCTAGGACAAGCAAGTAGCAAGCAGCCCAGCAACCCTTCAATCTTCAGACTGGACTTCAAATTCCCATGAGGCTAAACTTAAGCATGTTCATCCCGAAAAACCTGTTTCAGCCATCTGAGTCAGTCCCTGGACTCCAATGTGATGTGGTTGTCAAAAGGTTAGGGAACCCACAAAAGATGGTATATTTTGCTTGGGCAAATCAGTAGAAGAACGCTTCCAACAACCAACTGCTTGCCCTGGTTGCCCTGGTTGCCCTCTCAACATCCCCATGCATCCCCTGGCCGGGCCAGGGGTTGCCTAAGAATCCACCAAACAATCCACCCAAAAATTCCAGAATGGTTGAGATATGTTGAGATTCTCTACACAAAATGGGTCCGGAAAAATCCCCCAGAACGATCCTTCCTTCGCATCCAGCCTGCACGTTCTGGCTCCTGACAAAGCAACCCCATGCGCTGGCATTGGGAGCTGGAAAACCAGCGGGTTTCATCCGGAGACCCCACCCCTTTTTTTTAACATGGCGTATGATCATTGACAGCTGGCGTATCTTTGCGCCCAACTTGAACACCTGCAGTTGTGTTTGCAGCGGATCGCAGGTGTGGTATTTCAGTTGAATGCTTAGCATCCATGTGGGTTTGGTCTTGAGTTGCTTTGCAGATGAGGTGCTTGGAAAAACAGCGACCCCTCCACAATCATCGCAACTTTGCAGAAGCTGAATCAAAACGAGAAAGACTTGATAATGATCGAAAATCGGAATGTTCAGAAAATGTAGGCTATCCAGGCTATCCAGCGATCTGCTACAAAGGACTATATACATGGTTGGTATTCACAAGGTCTGAGACCTTCAAAAGTCACTTCATTGGATTCATTAGGAAAACCCGATGTTTGGGTATAAACGGATTTCCTGCAGATTTCCCCAGCAATATCACACCAATGATCATTCTGCAGGTCAAATAGCTGATTCATTGGAGTCCTGAGTGCAGCGCAGCACCAGTCCAATCTGTCTGGGGTGCCAACATTGGACATAACATGATGCAGCTACCCCCCCCCCGTAAACTTATATGCAGTTGTGAAAAAACATGTCACCTCCAAGTTTGCAAGTCGTTTCTCCACTTATTTTGGGGTTTCGCCCAATGAGAGCTTCAAGGGATCGGGGTACCCGGTACTGCTGGCCATTCTGCGCGCGCCAGCGAGATTTTTATATTTTATCACATATATCATACATCATATCATATATCATATTATATACATATATATATATATTGTATGTCATATACATATATCATGTATGTCATATACAGATATCATGTGTATCATCTATATATATATGATAGATCATGTATATCATATGTATATCATATATGTCATATATATCATATATATATCATATATATTCACATATATATCATATATATTCACATATATATATATCATATATATATATCATATATATATCATATATATATCATATATATATGATATATATATTATATATTATATATATATATATATCATATATATCATATATATTCACATATATATATATCATATATATCATATATATTCACATATATATATATCATATATATCATTTATATTCACATATATATATATATATATCATATATATCATTTATATTCACATATATATATATCATATATATCATTTATATTCACATATATATATATCATATATATCATATATATTCACATATATATATATATCATATATATCATATATATTCACATATATATATATATCATATATATTCACATATATATATATATATCATATATATCATATATATTCACATATATATATATATATCATATATATCATATATATTCACATATATATATATATCATATATATCATATATATTCACATATATATATATATATATATCATATATATCATATATATTCACATATATATATATATATATATCATATATATCATATATATTCACATATATATATATATCAAGGTCTGGCCCAAATCCCCCTCGATTGGGTCCTGACCTTAGCGGCGCTGACAGCCATTTTGATTCGCGCTGCGGGCCTCTCTCTGTGTGCATTTGGGCACCGAGCAACTGGCCTTCGATCTTTCGTGGTCCCAGCCACGTGAAAAAAGCCTGGGTAAGGTTTTGCAGTCACCTTTAAGACTGGACCGTGGGGTGAGCTCCCAAATCTGTCTGGCTCATTGTGGTGGATTTTCCCACTTTGGTTTTCAGAGATTTGGCTTGTTTTTCACTCCGTGCAATACACAATTTTATTGCCCACCGTTTTGGTGGACGGGTCCTCAACTCACTGCCTTAAGTTGAAATCAATTTGAGCACGCCCGTGATCTCAACAGTTTCCTGAGGTGATTAATCTACGTATGCCATTGATTTTTATCTGGCTGCTCGTATTTTTCAGCCATCAAGAACTCACGCAGGAGATCCCAAAGAAGGCAAAGAGCCAAAGCTCGACTGACTTGGCACCTTTTTCGATTGGGTTGTATCAAGCAGACAAGAGCGGATTTATTGAATTGATCAGACGTCTCAGCGCACATCATTCGAAGGATTTTTATCTGATTCGACGCATCAGACAAGAAGTGATGGCGACTTCAGATCCTTGGAGGTGTATGTACTGCAAAAAGATTTCAAAAGCAACTGCCAATGGATGCAGCCAGTGCTTGATAACGTGGCAAGATTGTCAAGACACTACCTATGTGCCGCCATCCAAACAGCAGAAGTATTCACAACATCAATACTCGCAACAAGCGAGTGGTTCCAATTGGGACTGGAATCAATATCAAGACGGAAGTCACACTCCCAGAACGCCGAGGGGCACGAAACTGGAGTGGCAGCATCCGAAGTCTCCTCGACAAGGCCGAGGCAAAGGACGTGGCAAAGGGAAGAAGAAGGAGCAAATGAAAGGCCATCAGCAGCAGATTTCGCAGAAGGGAAAAGTTCAGGAGGTAGGGCAGGAAAAGGGGAAAGGAAAAACTCCTACCACGCCAGCGGGAACGATGATTCCCCCAGAACCTCCTTGGACACCATCCTTGAACAGTGCTACAGGTCTGGCTCCGCTTCCACCTCCCACAGAGCCACCGCCGACATCCGAGGAAGGCATTATATTGAAAGAATTGATCACCGCCTTGAAAAAGTCACCAACCGAGCAGGACCCGGAAGTGAAAGCCATTGTCCAGAAAACCACATTGAAAGAGGGACAAGGTGCAGCACAAACACTGTACACTGCAGTAGACGATTTGACCAGTGCACGGGAAGCTTTGGACTGCGCCAGACTGGCAAGACACAACCTGCATATCCGTTGGCGGAATTTCTTGGCGGAGGCAGTCATGAGGTGGCAGAAACATACCGCAGATTTTCAAAAAGAAGAGAAGGAGCTCACAGAACATATCGAAGTTGCCAGGCAAGCACTGCAACACGCGGTCAAGAAGTTCGAGGAATCCAAGACCGAACTGGGAGACCAAGTTGTAGATGTGGATGCGGAAGCAGAAATGAACGAGGGATCAGAAGGAGCAGACAAGGACACTATGGGGGCGGCTCTTCAGGAGAGCTTACAGACCATGTCTGCCCAACTGGTCTCACTGCAAGCATCTGCCGAAGCAATGGTGACGGACGAAGTGAACTCAAACAAACGACAAAGAACAGATGGAGGCCTTGGATCTGGACCTTCGTTCTCTGCGGGAGCCGGCATCCCGGCTGGTTCACCACCTGCGGCTGCACCAGCCATGCAGCCATTTGCAACAAAGGAAAAGCCGCCTTTTGGCCAGCCCGACAAGGAGTGACGGAAGAGTACACTTGTCCAGGGCAGCCAATCCACCCAATCATTTTGAAGTGGGGACATAGTGCCTGCCAGGAATCATGGTTTCTGCCTGAATGGGAAGCACTTGAAGCGGCCTTTGAATTGTCATGGAAACTTGACAGAAACCAGATCACACATTCAACCGCCAAGCTGTCAAAGCCTACATGTGGGCGTGGTAGGCATGTTCAGTTTTCTCACGAGGTTGATTTGTGTTTTTGCAGTCCTTCTGAGCCTGTCAAAGTTTCCTTTACGACCACACATGAAGCCATCCAGCAATGGCCAAACAAACCGTGGAGTTTGAGATATCGAAATACCAATGCACCAATTGAAGCTGCTTCCTTGGAACCGCTGTCCAGCCGGGCCGTGTTGATCCGGAAGCGCCATATTGAGCCATTTCATGAAACATTCCGAACCACAGATGCATTTCACAATGTCCCTTCGTCATGGCAAAATAATGAGCCTAATCCTGGTGGTCAGGATGATGAAGAAGATGAAACTCAGTTTTTCCTGCATGAAGAGCCAGACTCAGTCCAGATTTTGTTCGATGCATTCCTTCGAGAAGGTCTCATCATTGGACCGAGCCTCACGGAAAGTGTTTTCTTGAGATCATGGCATATTAATCATATCCGTGAACACACGTGTTGGCACTCGCGAATCATTGAGTTGAACGGACATTGGAGAACATGGTTTGCTGACATAGTTTCAGGTTGGAGAGACAAAAACGAACCCAACGAAGAAACCATTTTCAGCATTGTTTATCCGGATCCACCAAGAAACAATTTGCGCCACGAAATCATGTTTGATATTATTCTTGCACAGGGCCTTGAAGCACCTAGAAAGGCAAGTCTAATAACAGTTCTGCAGAAAGATGATCAGAATGCTAGAGCACGTTTTGCGGTTGCGGCATCTGTACCAGATCGATTGAGTGGATTCCAAATTGCGCAAAGTGCAGAAGTCCTGCATGAATGCAATTTGTACACTTGTGCGATCAGGCATGCACTGACCATCATTCCATTTTCCATGGAGCCTGTACATGACATGCAAGAAGGTGATTCTTTCACGATCGCAGTCAGTACTTGCCGTGCCACTGCCATATCGTCCACAAGTCCCTCACCGCAGGCATTTGCCGAGCCAGCAAGTAATGCCCCAATGCAGCCAGAACGTAACTGCACTGATGATGAACCAAACGCATCTGAATCAGCGACTGACAGCAGCCATTCAGAGAATCATCAAGGAGTTCACATTTTTCGACTAGGACACCCCCCAGAATTTGGTAGAGTAAGATGGGACAGTGCAGATCACATTTTGCATGATGCAGCCAGAGCAGTGCGTGTGCCTCCAGCGCAGTGTATCTGTTTCCATTATCTGCAAGTTTATCCAGATGATATTGAGATCCAACAGGAGTCAATCATCCTGCAACATGTCCATGATGTCGCACCGGGATCCACTGAGAAATTAATCTTAGTCGATGTTGAACTCCATGGATCTTCACTCAGCAGTCAGGCTTTACATGCGCCAAGGGTCACCAGGCAGGTCTTCAAGGTGGTCCCCACACTGACACGGGTTCAAGTACTGCAGACAGCCAGAGTGAGAACATACTGTGAGTGGATTGCGCAAAGGACTCAGGGATGTTTCGTTTTCTGTAACCGTGTCATCTGGAATGCTCAAGATTTAGGACCTCGTCGAATTGCACATGGCATGTACTTCAGAATTGTCATACCACCTCCACCTGACATTACATGGGAAATAGGACATGCCCTGCGTGTTTTTGAGGACACTGCGGATCTTTTTGATCAACCAGAAGCAAACCGCATTGCAATTGAGGTACTGAATGGACATCCTATAGACACGAATCCATCCAGGGGTCCGACCAGCACAGAAAATGGCAGAACACAATGTAAAGGTGCAGATCTTGGTCCTCATGACATTGATATCCCTATGACAAATCCTCCGCCTGAGTACCGCAGACGTTTGAGACCTGAACATGATGGCACACTTCAGTGGTTACTTGATCTAGGTCAAATCTTTGCGACTGAGGCTGAAGAAGAGGTACATGAAGAACCCATGTTGTATGTGCAGACATGGTTTGTCCATCATTCACGCCATGCAACTTGCAGGAGGCCGAGGCCTCTACGACTTGAAAGGCATGCAATCACGTGGATTGATGATTTCAGACACCTCTGGGCTGATGTGATGGCACGGAATGAAGTATTTGCCATCAGAATTGTCAAACCAAAGCCGCCCCAGACACGGTCTGCAAACTATGCATGTCACATCGTCATTGAGCAAGGTATCACCCCTCGAAAAGCGGCGTGTCTTATCACTGCACTACTTGAGGGTGAACAAATGGACGCATTAATTCAAGGTGCGTACTCATTGCCAGTCATTGTCCGTGAACAGACCATCATTGATGCCATTGAGATTGAACCACAATGTGAAGGCCGCTGTCGCACGATCACATGGGGAACAGTCCCCATTCATCTTGTTGAAGCAACTGAGATTGTCTCAGGATGTAGCATTCGTGTGAGAGTCACCAATCCACGAAGTCAATTTCCCATATGCCCTGAACAAGAAGAACCTCATTTTGAAGACATTGCCCTTTTCCAGACAAGCATGTCAGTGTCTCAAACATGTGGCATTCACAAATCAGGAGGAAACACAACACAGGGAGATGGCGCACAATTTGCATTTGACACCAGGGCTGCGGAGTTTAGACCTGGAGCATGGAACATTCGTGCGCAACCTGAACACATCCAAGATCTTTATGCACAGTGGTCACAGCGTGCGTTTGCTTGGGAGGGTGAAGTTGCAGCATCACGTGTCATGACTTGGTTCGTTGACCATAGAAATGACTTCCATTGTTACCAGGGCCGTATTGTCACATTGTACGAGGACTTTGAAGACTGGGAAAGACGTATCAAACAAACATGGCAGGATCGACTTGATTCTAGTGTGGAGCTAGAAATCAACATTGTCACACCATTGCCTCCCAGAATCGAGTACAATATCGCAGCACATGTCGTGCTCGTGCAAGCGCCTCATGCAATGTGGGTGACTTCATTAGTGTCTGCAATTGATCCCACTATCTATGGACCAGAACCGAGACGTGCGGCCATCACGACCCATGAACACATTGCTGTTGAGCATCTCCTTGTTGCATGCAACTATGATCCTGATTGCTTGAATCCGTGGAGTCAAGTTCATTGTCAAGTCTGGTATGACAGGATCCAGATGCAGCCTGGAATGCCACTGCCCGGACGTTCCGGATATGGCATTGAATTGCATGTGCAGAGGCAATTCATTGTCTTTGCACCTGTACAGCCGATCCAGCAAGATGAAACTTCTCATTTGCAGACGGCCATTGTTAGACACAAGAAGATTGCTCTTTCTCTTGAACAAAGCTTGGATCTCGAGTCTGCATCAGTTGTTCCGATATCACTGATTGACGAAGCTGTGAATGCTGACTTTCCTGATCAGGTGTTCTTACCCGACCCCATACAAGCAGATGACATTGAGAAAGAGCTCGCTTTGCTTGGCTGGAAAAGACATGTTTATTTGCTTCAAGGCACTGGTTTTGCACTCTGCGTACCGGTGGATTGGAAATGTGATGCGCAGAAAGCATGTTATGTGTATTATCCGGTGGGAAGTTGCGACAGGAGGGACATTATTTTGCATTGTGATGCAATGATCCATCATGATGTAAAACATATGAGCCTATTGCATGCCCTGGGATTTTGCAGATCGGTTGTCCTTCACAGCCAAACTGTGCGAACTGGACTGACTTTGGTCCAGTATCACAACAATGAGCCAACACTTGAAATTGTGCCCGACCAGGCAAGACAGAGAACACCCTGGCCGGAATGTATGCCAACCATCCAACATCAAAAAATCTTTGTTGCTCCGCAAGAAAGTTCTGACATCCCATCGCAGCGACTTGAGCTTGGTATTCAATTACAAGATCTACATGAATTTTTCCAGTCGGGCGCTGATGTGCTATGTCCTTGGCACAGCCATTTGGATATGCCAGAAGTTAGTAGACATGCGATTGATGGCCTTGCATCATCAGAATCTCATAGTTTCTCACTTGAGAACTTTGATCGCCTCATCGTGTACACGGATGGCAGCTCCAAGCCCCACAATCGAAGAAAGCCGCCGCTCTGGGTACAGGATCATGATGTGCCAGATGCCTGGGCATTTCTGGCCCTTGGGGAGAAATATACACATGACCCTGCACAACCCAACATCACTTTCTTGGGATGGCATGCTCAATGTGTTACCTATGAAGAACATTTGTCGCATTTCCTGGGCACCAATCAAATAGGGTCGGAGCACTCAGAAAGGGAAGCGTTATTTTGGGCGTCTCTGTGGAGGCTATCACTCAACTCAAACATTCCCACTGTGTTTCGATCGGACTCAGTTACAACCACTGCACAATCACTTGGTCAGGCTGGTTGTAACGACGAACATCCAACATTTGGCCTGCTTAGAAGTGTCTTCCAAGCCCTGCAAGCGGCTCTGCCATCAGCGTGCCTTGATGTTCAACATGTCAGAGGTCACGCTGGAGACCCGTGGAATGAATTGGCAGATTTTCTTGCCAAAACAGAGGCATGTACAGGACACAAATTGAAACGACAGGCTGTCAATCTTCAACAGTGGAAACCTGTCCTGCCATATCTCTGGATGTTGTTTGACAAGCAAGCGGGTTTACCAAGGTTTCTGGGCAGCTGCTTTGATGTTCGGCCACCGAATTTGCCAGCAATGACAACTGCAGACTGCAGTCAACCAAAGCACAGGATCAGTCGGCATCACATGGCACTTAGCTTAGCAACCTGTAATGTTGGATCTTTATTCACAAGCCCAGACGGATATGGAGGCAAGTTGACATATATGCGGCAGCAAATGAAAGAATTGCAAGTCAACATCCTTGGCATTCAGGAGGCGAGAAGTTCAGCAGGGACCTCATTAGCAGAAGATGTTATTCGCCTTGCTAGTGGCTGTGATCAGGGAAGATTTGGAGTCGAACTGTGGATCAACACCTCACAGCCGATTGCATATCACGGCCAGAGACCTTGCTACATCCAGAAGTCGCATGTTCAAGTAGTGTACGCAGACCCTAGAAGACTCCTCGTGCGTATGGTTCATCCCTGCATTGACTGTCACATTTGTGTCCTGCATGCACCGCAAAGCGGTAGACCTCTCCAAGAAAGACGCGAGTGGTGGGCAGAAACCAACCAAATCCTGCATGCCCACACCGGAAGTGTCTCATTATATGTCTTGATTGATGCAAATGCAAAGACAGGACGCAGTTGCGACGCCGTTGTCTTTGACAAGGATGACCATTGCTCTGCAAATACCGAATTTTTTCGTGAGTTTCTGCAAGAACGAGGTCTTTGCCTACCATGCACATCTCACATTCACCAAGGTACAGATCACACTTGGACAGCGCCGGATGGTCAGACACAGCACAGAATTGATTTTGTAGCCATTCACATTGCAGAGCTCAGCTTCTGTACTCATTCCTGTGTAGTTGAACACTTTGATCTTGGAAATTTGCATGAAGATCACCGAGCTTCTGCACTCCAATTGCAATGGACACAAGACAGAGTGATTCGCCCTCACTCCAAATCTCACATCGGTCGTATTGACCGGAATGCCATCACCGAGAAACGGAACATTCTTGATTTGCAGACTGTTTGCGCAAGCCCTTGGTATGAAGATGTTGAGACGCATGTCCAATCCTTCAACATAGCCATGCATTCGACGCTCCAAGCAGCATGTCCTTTGCACAAACAAGGAAAGAAGAAGTATTATCTGACAAATGAAGCCTGGACCTTGCGTGCCGCAAAATTACATTTGCGCCGCCGCTTACAGCATGCTCGAAGGCAATCCAGTCTCGATACCCTTCGCCTTGTGCTCTGGGCATGGAAGCATCAAGACGATAACCAGGAGTATCGACACCAGACCATCGAACAACATGCGGCCTATGTCAATACCACGCTCTGCATCACGCTGCACCTGAACTGTCGATATTACAAAATCACCAGACAATTGAAGCAAGTCTTGCAGGCCACAAAGCACACGCAACTTGCAAAAGAGCTTGACAATGTCGATGAGAAAACAGCAGCGGGTTCGATTTTGCAGATGCTCAAGCCATTCATTGGCCCTACCAATCCAAAGAAACAGAAGAAAATGGGACTGCCAGCTGTCCGCAAACAAGATGGCAGAATTTGTGCCACCCCAGATGAAGCGCAAGCCAGATGGATTGAGTTTTTCTCCCTCATGGAGGGTGGCAGAAGGCTAAGCCACCAAGAATATCGTGCAATTTGGCGAACCAACCTCCAAAAGTTCCGTGCACAAGAGCCCTTTGCTGTTGCTATCACTGAACTCCCGAGTTTAGTAGAGTTAGAAGCTGCATTCCGGCGTGTTGCGACAGGGAAGGCGATCGGCCTTGATGGTATCCCGCCAGAACTGTGCAAAGCCAAGGCCACGGAATTGGCAAAGCTTACTTACTCAATGCTCATGAAAATCTTCTTACATGGACAAGAAGCAGCAGAACATAAGGGTGGACGGTTAGCCATAGCTTGGAAAAACCGTGGAGATCCACGTGATTGCGAGACTCACAGGTCTCTTTTAATCTCCAGCCACATTGGCAAGACCATCCACAGGGCGCTGCGACAAAAGCATCATGGACTCTACACTGCATATATGCAAACCCAACAACTGGGCGGGAGACCGAAAATCCCTGTAGGAATTCCTCTGCATTTGTCACGAGCATTCCTGAGATGGCAGCATAGATTGAAGAGACCAACAGCATGCATCTTTCTCGATCTCGCAGAAGCATTTTACAGGTTGATCAGACCTCTAGCGCTTGGCGGAGATATTTCTGATGATGATCTCGCAGTCATTGCCATACGCCTTGGCTTGGATGGAGACACATTGCACCATTTTCATGCTCAGTTACAGGATCCATCTGCACTGCAACAAGCAGGGGCCAGTCCTGCTGTGCAAAGATTCCTACAAGCACTTCACAGTGACACTTGGTTCACCATTGGACCACAGCATGATGTCGTGCGCACGTCGATCGGGTCTCGCCCAGGAGACTCGTACGCGGATGTAGTGTTCGGTCTGCTATGGGCAAAGCTCCTGCGTCAATATGAAAGTGCTTTGATCAAGCATGACATCATCGAAGTGATTCCTGCCTTTGATTTGCCATGCCTTTTTGATGATGCATCGGAAGGTGGAAGAGACATCCCGTTTGTAGGTCCAACGTGGATGGATGACCTCAATGTATGCATCGCAGCAGACACCAATCATGGCATCGAAAGCAAGACGGCAACTGCCCTTAGCATTTTGCTCGACCAATGCAAAACCTTCCACATGGAACCGAATTTACGGAAAGGAAAAACAGAGGTCATGTTTGCTTTTAGGGGCGCTCACACCCGCAGTTTCCGCCGTAGGTATTATTCACATCAAGCAGGTTTGCCGGTTGTTTGTGAATCTGGTACTGTCTGTGTTTCAGTTGTGAGTCGGTACTTGCATTTAGGCGGAATCCTGCACCACAGGGATGTTGACAGAGTTGAAGTGACCAGACGTCTCGCTATTGCCCACCAAGCATTCACTGCTCATCGACGAGTCCTGTTTCACAACAGGCATCTGATGTGGGAAAAGAGACGGGAACTCTTCACCACGCTTATCCTGAGCAAACTAGTTTATGGATTGGAGTCATGGGCCATGGAGTCACAAGCAGTCAAAACACAGTTTCATAGAGGGGTCATGAATCTCTACCGAAGGTTGCTGAAGGTTCCTCATGATTTGCATTTGACTGACTTACAATTGCTTGCGAAGATTGGCTTGCCGAAACCCGATGAACTTCTGCGTAGCAGTCGACTTCGATATTTTGGCACATTGCATCGATGTGGCCCTGCAACAAACTGGGGCCTTCTGGCGGAGGATGCTGCCTGGATTGCGCTATTGCAGGATGACTTTCGCTGGCTTTGGGATCAAATATGCAATACTACGGATCTTCCAGATCCAGTCATGCATTACCCAGCCTGGAAAGATCTGATCACCTTCCATGCACCTTATTGGAAGAAGCTTATCCGACGCAGTGTTGCGCATGCCATCGCACAAAGACAAAACTACCTAGTAGCCCTGGAGTTGCATCAGAACGTTGGAAAGGTTTTGTTTGATCACAGTTGGGTTCAGAGCTTGCCCACGGATGACAAAATTACCATGCCCACAGCATCCTATGGATGCATGCAATGCCAGAAACGACATCTCTCGCATGCAGGTGAGAGCGTCCATATGTTCAAGAAGCATGGACGTGTTGCAAAAGCCAGGCATCTCTTTGCTGAAACGCACTGCCCAGCATGCTTGAGAGAATACCATACGAGGGCAAAAGTGCTGGCACATTTGCGGATAGCAGATTCGTGCAGACAGCAACTCATTGGAAAGCGAATGCATTGTCCATTGATGCCTGGAGTTGGATCTCAAGAGGACAGAGCGCTGGAAGAGAGATTGGACCGTGCACAACCGTTTTTGCAAGCACTTGGACCACACAACCAACCGATTCAAAGAGCTGATTTTGAGGCACATGATGAACAGCTGTTTGAGGACCTTTACCTTGCACTTCTTGATGCACAAGAAGACATTGCATTGGACACCCTCATGCGACAGGAAATCTGTCAGCATGCAGTTAGCTGGACAGTGTGCCAACGAACCCTCCTTCATTTCAATGAAGTTTTCACACCGCAAGATGCCGAAGTTTTGGTTTTTTCCTTTGACAAGGTTCGAAATTGCATACAGACACTGAGTAATGCTGAGGCATGGTCATTTCTGGGTGCAGCATGCACCCGTGAGGGCCGACAGCTCTCTAATGATGTCAGTGTATGGGAGGATTGGTTCACACAGATGGCCTACTCTCAATGCAATCCTCAGACACCTTACAGAGCAATGCCAAGATCTTTGAGCAGACAAAAAATCATCTTACACGCATATGCTGGACGCCGTCGCCGAGGAGACATTGAATGGTATATCGACGAGATTGCCAAGAGCCATCCAGGGATTGTCATTCATGTTGCGTCAGTTGATATCGTGATTGATGAGAATTACGGCGATATTGCCAAAGAAGCCACTCGTAATTACTGGGTTGGTCACATCCTTGCTGGACATGTGATCGGGTTTTTGGCGGGACCCCCTTGTAATACATGGAGCAGAGCGCGCCACCATGTACTGGCTGATGCATCAGGTCCCCGTGTGGTCCGGACGCCGGACGCACCGTGGGGAAAAGATTCATTGCGATTGAGCGAACTACAGCAGGTTTGCCTTGGAACATTACTGTTGGGTTTCGCCTTTCAATGCATCGTCGCGCTTGCTCTACGCAGTGGTGTTGGCTTCGTTGAACACCCAAAAGACCCGGAGCAAATTGACCTAGTCAGCATCTGGCGGCTCCCCATTCTACGAGCCCTTTTGGACCTACCAAACGTCAGACTGCTCCACCTTGCACAAGGACTTTTCGGAGCACCCTCAGCAAAGCCGACCACATTACTGGTCCTTGGTATGCCGACGCTTGAGGCTGAACTCCATGCGCATCGAGTCACGACAGAACTTCCACATGGTTTGTCGGTAGGCAAGGATGATTTTGGGCAGTTCAAAACTGCGCCGTTAAAAGAATACCCACCGGCAATGTGCAAAGGTATCGCATCTGCCCTTTGCACGGATGTCATTAGCATTGAGTGCAATGACACAACTTTGCCGACTGATTTGGTGCAACGCTGTATAGGCATGACAAATCAGTTTTTCGGCGATTTCATTGGACACGATGGATAGACATCAGTCCACAGAATTCAGGCAGAAACTGCCGCAGCGAGTGAAGCTTCTACAGGCAGTGAGGGAAAAAATATATATATCATATATATCATATATATTCACATATATATATATATATCATATATATCATTTATATTCACATATATATATATATCATATATATCATATATATTCACATATATATATATATATATCATATATATCATAAATATTCACATATATATATATATCATATATATCATATATATTCACATATATATATATCATATATATCATATATATTCACATATATATATATATCATATATATCATATATATTCACATATATATATATATCATATATATCATATATATTCACATATATATATATATCATATATATCATATATATTCACATATATATATATCATATATATCATATATATTCACATATATATATATATATATATCATATATATCATATATATTCACATATATATATATCATATATATCATATATATTCACATATATATATATACAGTATGTTTCTATATGTCGTTTATACTCACACATCTCTAGCGCATCCCACACACATCTGTTCTTCAACCTTCAGATGATCCCGAAGTATCCCGAAGTCGCGTAAGCCTCTGAAAGTGGTCCTTACATTGGGGGCATTATGTCTGTGACATTTTGATGGATTTCCCATGGCTTTCCCATGGATTTCCCATGGCTTTCCAGGTGTTTCAAGGTCATCATGCTCTCTTCACTAGACATGGGGGGATGGTCAACCGCCCAAGTTATAGCATGGCCCAGTTGCAGAGGAAGAGCCCATCTCCACATGTGAATCCCGTGCCGACTTGCCCAGCTGGTAGCGGTCCCTTGCCACTGACCTGGGCACAGGAGGTTCGCACACAAGTACGAGCCCATGAAGAATCGTATAGTGCCTGTAGTCAAATACTCTATCTAGGGCCAGTGAAGTTAAGGAATTTTAAGGATAGGTCAGCAAACCCTCAGGTCAACTCCTGCTTTCAGGAATCATATAGCCCTGTTTTGGGCGAAAGCGGATGGGGTTTCCCCAGAAAATCAAGCACCCGGATCCTAGGCCCAATCCCACAGCACCTGTTATTTGCCTTTTTTGCCCATCCCCATTTGGTATATCACTAGGCCCATCACTCGGACGCTCTCAGTTTTGGGGGCTCCTTTTTTCAATGTCAAGAACTCCACATCTGTGTACCACCCGGAGCCATCTGAGTTCTGAGTGTCAAAAAACGGTCACCACCGGATGGTTTAAGACCCAACATGTTCTCCACTTTTTGGTGGGTCCAAAATGGGGAGGTCCCAGGCAGATTTCGGACATCTGAGCTCCCCGGCCAGAATTTCCAGCCTGCCACAATGTACAGGATCGCTCCCAGGGTATAGAAGACCTCAAGAGCGTTCTCTCTGCTCAGGTCCACACAACGGGCTCAAGAGTCGTCCCTGAATTGACTTGTTGTTGCACGAAAAATGTGTTTAAGACATCAAAAAACTGAACGAATTGGACCAACTGAAAAATAGAAGTGGCAAAAAGCTGGAGGTTGACTGTAAATTTTGAGAAACATTCCATGAACCAAACGTGTTTTTCCCATTCGCCAACAGACTTCGTCAGATCCCTTGGGTCCCTTGGGATGCCGAAGCGCTGCCATGGTGATGCCCAATCCCCAATTCTTCAAGTTCATCCCCTCCTGGCGTTGAAATTTCTCCAGGGATTTCTGATTTCAAGCTCTGTGTTTTTCCAGATATGGAGATATTCAAGTTATTCAATGGGAATGGATATTGCATGATATTGCTGACCAAAGCAAAATATGATATTTTGGAAAAGGCCCAACAATGGCAGCATTTTTTAGATCCAACGGATCATCAAAACCCAGTCATCCCAAGAGGGATCCCACGAAACGGAGGTTGATTGGTTGCTGGTGAGTCCTTAGTTTTGTTCACAACAGGGGACCTGGTACCCATGGGGTACCCAACTTAGATTGATCATGTTCTTCCGTCTTTGAACTCACCAAGTCTGTCAAAGAGACACTCGTATCAATGAGGCACATGAGCGACTGAGGATAGCATTCACTCCGAATCCATGGGTTGCTCCGTAGCAACTGCAAATAGCCATAGAAAGGCATCAGTTGAATCGGTAGTCTCATTGGATCACATAGAACAAAATTCCTAGCACCGGATGGACCTTAAACATGTCAAACTACCCATCATCACATCCCATTGAAAGTGCTAGAACCAAGCATAAAGCATTATCAAACTATAAACAATAACTATAGTTATTATAAATATAAGTTTTTATCAAATATTATCAAATTTTATAGCTTAAACAAAAAAACAACGGCAGAAATCATAGCGACCAACCATAAAACATGTGGATCTCTCAGCCTGGATGGTCTTGGGCGCCACCTGTTTGGCCGAAAAACCTCGGTGTTTCTTGGTGCGGATGCCCATGGCCCATGATATAACATCCTGGTTTTCCACAGTTCAACATCTAAATTTCAGGGATCAGTATCCCAGAAAATCATCGTTCCATCATCGTTCCATCATCGTTCCTTCTCCTCCCTTCCTCCCCGCGTGGCGCGTGACGCATGGTGCCATCGTAGGGGTCAGCGCCCACGGGTGGAATGGCCAGTTGGTCGAAGGAATCGGCACAGGCCATGGGACCTGCCCACGATCACCGATGACCCCACCGTGGCATCGTCATGGTTTGTTGCGTTCGCCTTGATTGAATAGAAAACATGGAAAACCATGAAAAAAACATGAAAAATGGGACAAAAACCAAGGTTTTTAGGTGATGAAAATAGAGATTGAAGCATGGGAAACCATGGAAAATATTGGGATGTTGAGTCCAACCAATGAAATTTGACAGATGAAAATTGGGATTCAGCCAGGCCCAGCGGGTAGATATATACCCCAATTTATGGCTAGTTGCAGTCATGGGGTATAAAATACCACTCTGGTGTATCTGCCAGCTGCAACAAACCTGTATGGTATTGGAACTCATTAGGTTTAAATTTCACCAGCTGAATGGGGTGAAAAAAAGGCCCCGTTGGATCACAGCGAATGACAGGAATTCGAATCAACAAGAGAAGGTTTGACCTGACATACAAGAGGCTGCTGCCAATATGTCAAATGTGGTAAACCTAGATCGTCCCAAACAGGGGTATGTTTCCAATAGGCAACAACCATTTCGGGATGGCAAAAATGGTTGGTTTTACCTCATCATAGTCTATTGGTTACAGATGACCCAGGGACCACAATGGGAGATTGTACTGGCATGATGGGTACCAAAATCTGTTCAATTCATGGTCTTATTATCCTGAAGAGGTGGAAAACCACCCCACTTATGATGACGACGTCCTATCCCTTTGTTGCTGTAGTCATTACTCAGGATCCATTATGTCGTACAAACCAACAAATAAAGGGCACAACTCCGTTATTCGACCCAGAACCCCAAGACTATACGCTTGCATATACACAATATATATATATATATGTGGCAGGGACCTTTGGGGTCTATTTCGTTCCTCCTCGCACAAACGTAATCAAACGTCATTCTATATGCATATATACTATATACACAAGTAAATATGTCTACATGTGTGTACAAGTTCAACAGAAAGTCGCAATTTTTTCCCTTGCCCCTCAACCTGCGCAGCGTCCGTTTTCTGCTCCAAGAGATGCTGTCACCAGCACGCGCGAACGCACGCCAATTTGAACTCTGGGCAGAAGAGTCCTCCAGTGTCAATTGTGTTGCTTTCCATCCCTGCAAGCTACAAAGTTTTGGAATGCGCATGCAAGTTTGGGACTCTTGTGCGCTCATGCATGGGAATGTTTTGGTTGTCAGGAGTTTGTAGTTGTTCAACTGGTTGCAATATTAGTAATAAGCATAGTTTTATAGAAAGAACCTTAAAGGAACCTCATGGGCATGTAACACAAGCAACAAAGCAATGCAAACATGTTCCACCACTTCCACCTGTAGTGATGAAGAGGGAGGGTGATGGCGGCCAACCCCCTTCATTTTGTCATACTCATCACTTCATTGTTTTTGGCCCCGCTGTCGTCCCCTCTCAGGATCCTTTGAATGAAGAAGAGTTGCAAAAGCAGACCTTGGACCTCTTGGTGAACTTTGCATACAGGCTGCAGATGGATGGCCTGATGCCTGACCTGCCAGAACAGCCACCAGGTGAGCCCAGTAGTGGATCTGATTTTCTGCGAGAAGTGGAAGGTTCTAAAGCCAAACACCCAGGTGCACCACTACTTGAAGCTTCTATGGCAATGGCACCTGGCCCAAGTCCAGGTATCTGCGCGTCTTCACCAGCCAGTGCAACTACGGTTTTGCCAGTTCAACCTGATGTTGGTTTGTTGGCACCTGCCACTCCTGAAGTACCCCCTCTGAGGCTTCAGCAGCATGCATCCCCAAAGAACTACCTGGTCCAGTTCCAGAAGCAATGGGGGAGGTTGACCTGTACTCCTGACCAGGTGAAGAAACTTCTTTATTGCACCAAACAAAAAGGCTCTCAAGCTTCGACTGGGCCGTCCTCTACTCAAGATGTATCTGATAGGAAATTCATGCATTTTCTCAAGCATCATATGTTTCTATGGTTTTGCTTTCTGTGTGGGATTCAAGTTTCTTGATCTATGCATTTAGTATTGTTCATTCTCAGGTACCAGAGTTCGTGCCTCCTCGAGGAACTTCTAGTGGAGGTTGGTTCAGGAAAGTTTCTGGGCTAGTAGTTGCTTGGAAGCTTGGAGAAGCGCACAGGATGAGATGCCTACTATAACGATGGGAAGAGATTTCACGGGTGAAGGCGTATGTGGCAGCTTTGGTGGGCTACGTCAAAAAGTGTGGATGGCAAAAGAACTTGGAGGGTGAGTATGGCTTGAACACTTGTACTCGCCTAAGATCTTACTGACTCCAGCAAAGCCTGGGTGGTTAAAAAAAACTTATATCAAACTATCAAACAGTAAGAATTTCAATTCTGTTTCTAAATTGAAAATAAAGCAGTCGCAATTTTCAATTCGGAAATCGAAATTGAAAATCCAACAGTCACCATTTCAATTCAGAAATTTAAATTGAAAATCAAACGATCACCATTTCAATTCAGAATTCCAAATTGAAAATCAAACAATCTCCATGTCAATTCAGAAATCTAAATTGGAAAACAAACAGTTGGCATTTCAATTCAGAACCTTAACTTGAACCTACAGTAGTATATTTTTTACTTTTCAGATTTTGATATTAATTTGGTTTACTATTTGGCACAACTATCAAAAAATAATGTAGTTTTTACATAAGCAGCCTTTAGGGCTTTCATTTTTTTAGCCAAAAAGCACATTGATGCTTTCATTTTTTGAAGCTGTCACAAGTATAGCACATTGATGCTTCAGGTTTTGGTGTTCCATTAGTGCATCAGACATGTGTCCTTTGCATTTTTCTTGTCAAGGTGTAAGCTGTCAGGATGTCCAGTAATAGGGGTCAGGCACGGGGTTCAGCCACTGATCCAATGGTATCTCGACAGTTTCAAACCTGGACCTCATCCAATGGATGGAAGAGCCTCTGGTATGTCGAGATTCATCAATCAGGTTTTGATTCTTGGTTACCAGGTTGAAATTCATCATGTTTTTAAAGCATACGGGAACTCAGGTAGTATGAGGATAGATGTAAACAAATTGCTCGCTTGCTCAGGCAGGATGCTCTTGAGCACTTCAAGCAGAATGAAGGCCCACATCTTTTGCCTGCCAGCCTGAAGAACTTGATCAAAATCAGTTACATGTTGGCTGGGGTCCCTGTTCCTTCTGGCGATGCTATCTGCGCCTGATAGCTGCAGCTGTATGCCCATAGTGCATGGAAAGCCTG